AGCAGCAACCTCAGATGCAGTTGGTAGGTTATATGTCCTTCCATCATGTTTTCTTTTTCCAATAATTCGTAACTTTAGGTCAGCACGAGGATTTGAATTAAAAACATCTCTAACCATCCTATAACACTTGACCAACTCGTTATTTGAATCCAACATAAGCTTCAAATATTCTATAATTTGAAGATCAGTTGAATCATCAGTTGATGTAGAGTCATGCTTGGTTCCCCTGTAAATAAAATTATTTTAATATACAAATGAGTAATATAAAAGTAATATTGTTAATGTGATAATAGAAAGTATTAGTAAATTAGAATGTATACCCGAAACATTTCTGTCTATTTGATGTTTCATTTTCGGTATCATATATGTACAACTGGGAAAATCTTGGTTGACATCCATTCGTAGGGAGAAGGCTTCCGATACTATGATAATTTTGACCGCTAAGCCTGAATATGTATGGTGCGTTTCCTTTATTGATGGATGAATCAACTTTCCCACCCATCGATGTAAATGAAAACATTGAATTGTAACGACGAATGTTTTTCATGAAGTATTTGCTTTTAGAATTTATCTCAAGATAAAGTTGTTTGTAACTTTGCGGTGGCTCTTTTAAAGGAGGTAGTTATACCTTCCCATAACCACAACACAGAGAAAAGATTTTATCCCCAGTTTTATTGCCTCTCGAAGATTCGTCTTTCCATAATTTAGCGTGACATAGTTCACAAACAACATTCTGATCACCATGATCTAAATAACCTGTTAAATAAAACATTATAAAAAATGTAAGTATAATAAATTTATAATTACCAACATAAAATATGTAAAATGTTGTTTATGATTATTACCTGTTGATATACCAACATGTGTCGGTTGGATAATATCTCCACCATTAATATTATCATCTCTCGTTAAGCCAAATATAGGTATAGGAGATATATGTGCAAACTTTCTTTTTGAGTTGTGTACTCGTGAAGAATTTTGATTGTGTGTGATTGTCGAAAAATTGCTTGATTTCTTGGAATTAGAAGATGATGAAAATCGTCGGTTACTTGATAAGTGTGTTGGCACATTATGTTGACTACTATAAGTAGCTGAAAGAAAAACAATATGGTAATCATGTAGTTATTGTAATATAAAATAATATTGTATGTATAATAAAAAAAAATATATGCATACCATTTGAGATATTGGAAAGTGGAGTCCTAAAATTTAGATTTGAAGGAGATGACAATGTTGTAGAATGATATTGAGGAGTCTTGCAAGAGGTGATATTTTCCTTTTGAGAGGAAATATGTGTGAGCTTTTTTGAAGAGTTTAAATGTTGACGCCGATTGAAGACATCAGCTGCATATAATTTTAACTTTGTTTAATAATAATGAAAATTAAACACAATTGGGCAATTTCATAAAACATATAGTTAGGATAATAAAAATAAGTAAATCACACAAAATAATTACCGTTGAGGCTCGTGTTAACACGTGGCGTTGCAGATGAACTTTGACCGTTTGATATGGTTGATTTATTTTTATATTTTCTAATATCCAAATATAACTTCCTTACTTTTCGTTTCTCTTTAGCTGAAGAAGAATCATTTTTTCTCTTATAATCTATAATAGAAAGAAAGTTTAATTAAAATATAATCTATAAACTAAGTTTGTAAGTTATGTTTGTATCTGTTATGATTGGTTTTTGATATAACTGCATGTATGCATAGAGAATATGTGGATCATTAATATGATCACCTGTTGTTAGGTCGAACATACGTATAGGAGATATATGTGCAGACTTTTGTTTTAAGTTGTGCACTCCTTGAGAAAACTGCTTGGATGAGGATGTTGGACCTTTATAAGATTGTTAGATAAAGCTGAAAAAAAATTGTTAGTTTTTAATCATATACTTATTGTAATGTGAAAGAATAGTGCATGTATAATAACAATAATAAAAATTATACATACCATTTGATATATTGGATAGGGGAGTCATATAATTGATATTTGAAGTAGATTGAAAGGTTGAAATGATATTGAGAAATTTTATTATAGCTACTTTTCAAATGTTGATGATGACCGAAGACATTAGCTACATATAATTTGAAATATATTTAATAAGGAAAATAGCATTAATATTAATTAATTATATAGATTTAAAATTTTTATATTTTTTAACAAATAACATAGTAATTATACAAAAAAAAAAAAATTAACATACGAATAAATTACCGTTTTGGGTACTGTTAAAAGGTGTTGAGGTAGATGAAGTATGACCGTCTGATATGGTAGGTATTTTTTTAAATCTTCTATTATCCAAATATAGTTTCCTTAATCTTCGGCGTTCTTTAGCTGAAGTGAAATCTATGGTATATTCTATCATCTGTATATAAAAAAAAATTAATTAGAATTTAAAATACAAATGGGAGGTCAAATAAAAGTTATGTATAACTTTACAATTATAACAAATATTATAAAACAAATATAAAATATGATGAGTAGTTTAAAAGTAACGTCTTTGTATAAATGAAAAATAGGTTTGAAAATGTCCGGTGATTGCAACGGCTTTCAATTAATGTTACCAACTGTGAGATTTAATCAACATCAACCGGAAACCCAAAAAATAATATAATTTATTTTCAAAGTACAAATATAGAAATTGGTAATTAGTTACTTTTTAACCAATGAAAATAAAAATATTAAAGGATTCAATAAATAATGTTAACCAAAATTTAAAAAGGAACGAATTATATTATAAATAATAAAAGTTTATTACAACAAATAGAAAATAAACAATTCTAATTGTATATCAAATAATTCGTATAATATTAAAGTTGAATTAAAGTTGTTTCTGTATCACAAAAATAATACCACGGGAACTTATCTTCAAGGACAAAGAATACAATGAAGTAAATGATGAAATCGAAGGGGAACTTATACCAACGAAGAGTCGTGCAGCAGTGGTAGACGGGATTTGGAGAGTCCTACAGTGTAGTGACGCCGTATGAGTCTACCGACGGACCTTTATCGTAGGCTGACTATTGTAAGACTTATTTCACTCAGTTAGCAAGCGACATGCCGACAGTTGAAGAAGAGGGTGAAGACAGAGAGTCGGGACTGAGAACGGAGAGGGATTAGAGCGTGATCAACGTATATCAGCAAAAGGTATTTAGGTTTTTTGGATCTAGGGTTTAAAATTTATTTGAATACTTTTCAATTGTTAAGATTTTTCACTCCTGACAGGATCGATTTATCGTAAAATTGAATGCAAAGGCAAGATGTCCAAGTCAGACATCATTGATTATATAGTAAAAAAGATAAGTAATTTATTTGTGTATATTTGGTTTGCTAAATTTCCTAAATTGTCGCCTGAAATTGTGGATCGACTGCTTCTAAATGATTTGAAAAATCATCGGATCACTAAAATTCGAATATGAAAGAATGGATTTTTTTATT